TGATAATATTATCAAAGTGTTGAATAATATTTTCAGCAGTATGTGATCCATGAAAATATCAGGAAGCCAACATGACACTTTGCATATTGAAATCAATAATGAAGTGTGCAATCATTCTAAGGAACGATCTCATTTGTCCAGACGTCCATGGTGAGGCAAATGTCAGGTGCTTGAGAAAGGAGAGTTAAGACTTCATCGTGCAATTGGGTATGCCGTTGATGAATAAGCATTGTACTAATATGCTTCTGTGAAGGCATGGTATAATGGGGCTCTGCGACACTAAGTAATTTACAAAAATGCATCCCTGTAAACAATTGAAAGGGGCATTAAATCCTTGGCAATGAATGTGACAATAGCCTCTGTGATGGCTTGTTGTTGACCTGGATCTGAAGATTGCTATTTGTTAGTAGAATTTTGTTGTTTGGATACAAAGGAAAGTAATCCAGTTTGGTTAACTTGCTCTGACTGGCCTTTTTGTTGAGGCTTCCATAAACATCAGGATGTTTCCTCTGAAAAAATAACACTTATTATGGGGTTTTGAAAATAGAGTATCGACTAACATTATAACAAGTCTGAAAATCAATCTATAATTCTTACAGTGAAGCCTGAAATAATATGATGGATTGATGATAAATGATATTTATTTACATCAATCTAAATAATCTTCATGGATAACAAAAACATTGTCTGCTAGAGACAAGTATCATTAGCTGCAGATATTTGAGTAAGTTTGATGTAGTCTTTTCTGTAGCAGAAATTGATATTGAACAGTGTTTACATTTTGCCTTATAACTGCCCAAAGTACTTCTGTTGGGAGAATCAAAATGTTGAAAAACTGGTGTCTTGGAGACTGCCATCTGAAAACCATCAGTTTTTTACAATATAAACTTAAGATTGACACTTTTCCTTTATCCTAGAGTGCACCAGAATGAAACTATAAACTAGCCTCCAATCTGGAGATGCACTTATCTTGGGCTAGGAATGAATAATTACTTTTCAATTCACCACACCTGCTCCTTTAAGCTTAGTGATCCAGGGCTGAGGGGAATTGACTTAACAGGTGATGAATTGACATCTGAATATCTTTTGCTTGTGTGCAGGTAATTGGGAAGATATGAAAACCACTTCTAAAATGTTAATGCCAGAAATGCATTTTTTTGAAGCAGAAAGACATCTAAAATTTTAAATGTAATCACATTGTAATCACAGATTATGGTTACAATTCATTACAAGTATGACTACAGTTACATTGAAAATGTAATTGATTAGGATTACCACATGCCTGCTGTTGAGCACGGAAATGGCCAGTGCATTGTAAGGTTTCCTGAAACCACATTAATTTATTTGTACAATACAAAGTAGTTTAGATGATTAAATTGTTACACTGATATTGAGTTTTAAACAGAAATGTTGGAACTTCTGTTGACAACAAGCAACAAGTATGCTCCCTCCCATTTGTTTTTATAAACACAACCCCTTTCATGTAGTCAAACACATCGATGGTGTTACTGAGTGTTTTGTAATTTTGAACATGACCAACAGTAATATTTGAGGAAAATTAACATTAAATTATTATACCGTTTATCCCACTCTCCTCCGAAAAAGAAAAAGAAAATGGTAGTCTACAAGGAGTTGTTTCTCATGCATCTATTTCTGGACACCTGGTCATGTATGTCACTTATTTTGATGCTTTAACCAACATACTCTGAATGTGGGTATACTATACATCACTGTATATATATAAAAAAATGATTGAAAAGGTATTGTAAAATCAATTCATGTACCTAATATTTTCAACATGTTTTGATGAAAGTTTGTTACATATTGTATGAATGTTTCACAAGAGAATGGTATATTCATACTATGCAGAAAAACATATAAATTTAATGTTTTTCCTTTTAAGTATACTTTGGGGTAAAATGAACTCGAGCAGTTTTCAAAGTATGGTTACAGTAATGTCATAAAATTAACAGAATCTGTCTTTACTGAAACATTTATTTCTCATCCATTCAGGATACATTTTAAGACCTTTAAAGTTATTATTAATTGTATAGGTGACGTTGTGTACAAAAACGTATTATCTGTGCAGTTTTGCAAGAATTGTACAGAATGTTTTTCTTTAAGTATTTTAGTCATATTAAATAATTGTATTTAAGTTTGTTGTGCAGACAACTGTCTACAGGAGATTGCTTTTATATCTTTCTGGTTTTGCTGATGTTTTATTGATATACTCATTTGAGGCTATATGTTCTGTTTCATATTTGTATCTATAATCATGGGCATAACATTCATGTAAGGCCACTAAAATGTTGTCACTCTCAAAAACTTGTAAACTTTTGAGTTCATATAGCTATATTCTTAATTTAGATAAATTAAAACATTTAGAAAAGTTTCCGTCATATTTTTATATATTCTATGATATTGCTTATATCTTTAGTCTTAAGTTGTTTCCATAAAGAACAAATAACTTCTGATTTTTGTAAGTGCAAATTATGCTATTGATATTGTTTTTGCATGAATCTACATTTCCTCTGTTTTTATGGGCATACTTATACATTTTTTACATGATGATTTTTGATTACTTAAAACTTCTTGGAATATATTAGTTCAGAAAGTTAAAAATTGGTAGATAAATTGATGCCTGAGGACTGAGTTTGAATGTACGTTGAACCAGGTTATACAATAAAGTCTCTCGAACGTTACCATCCAGTCTGAAACCAATTATAATTTCAGTTTTCTTCATACGTTTTTCTAGCACCAACACAAATGTAATGAAAGTTGTTCCATAAGAGCTTACTCTTCCAGTAGTGAGCGTGAAGTCCAAACATCAGGTCGACCCAGTAAGTCATCCATTAAAGATAAGAAACACGAGAGCAAATATCTCATTTGGTGCAAGGAAGTTGGACTCGCAGGTCAGTATCATGGTTTTCCTTACTTGTTAACATTAAACAAGTGTAATCCCATTATTTTGCTGCTTGCAGTATTAGATACAGTAGTTATTTTTTTAAATAAATTTATACTTTTAAATAATATAAAAAGGCATTACTATATGCTAATTGCCCAAAAATTTAGAAATAAACTGGATATTTTGTTTATTCAGGTATTTTGAAAATGTTTGTATGTCTTTAATTTCACACAAAGCTACCGGAGGACTATCTGTGCTAGCCATCCTTAATTTTGAATTTTTGTGCCTATTTTAGAACAAAGTCACATTGGGCTATCTGCTGTGTCCACTGTAGAGAATCAAACTCTGGATTTTACTGTTGTAAGTCCATTGATTTACTGTTGTTCTACCAGAGGACTCCTTAATTTTGAGTTGAAAGACTAGAGAGAAGGCAGTTAGCCAATACCACCAGCTTTAAGGCTACTCTTTACCAATGAATAGTGAGATTGATCACTACATCATAATGCCTCTATGGCTGAAAGGGCAAGCATGTTCAGGGATGGGGTTCAAACCTGTGACCTTCAGATTGCAAGTTGTGTGCCCTAATCACCAGGCCCATTTTGAAAATGGAACTGTGAATTTTTTTTTGTTCATAATTTTTGTAACCTTTTATATGATAAGTTCAAAGCGTATCTTTGAAAGAACTAATTACTGGTATGAAAAAAAGCCTCAAAGCTTTCTCGGCTAGTAGATAAGATGAACTTCAATTTTTTTTTTGCAAGTTGGTCATTAAGGTTATGTTCTTACATCAACCATTAATATCACGAACTAGTTAAACCTCTTCCAATACTCGTTTTAGGGTAGTTCACAACTTTTGAAACAACATAGATTTTTCACAGATTACTTTTTTTATTGACAAAAAAATCTACTCAAACAGAAAAGTGTGTAAATAATGTTTGTGTTTTTAATCACATGTTATTTTCTTTCTGTTTATCTTTCCAAAGAAATGGACTTTTAGCTTTGATATGAGCTCATTGTTTGTTTTCTTCAACATTAATAGACTTTGAAACTGTAACTGTAAAGAAAACCTAAGTTTTAAAAAAGTAATTAAAATAGTTACAAATATTATATATTGTGTGCAATCATATGCTTGAATACAAAGTACTAATTCTATTAAAAACATGCACTGAGTTAATAAATTTGTGAATACCTTATCACATTTGAATTACACGAACATAGGCTCATAATTATTAAATGTTTAGGTGACTACAGCTTTAAAAATTAACATCTTTGGCTTATTTAGAGACCTTTACTTGAATCTGACAGTTGGAGGTGACTGTTACTATGTATTAGATTGATATATTTGTTAATTTCTTTTCTTCATAAAAACATGAATTTCAAACAATGACTTATAAGCATAATCATGTGTTTTACTAGCAGAGACCCGCAAAACATTTCCGGCCAAATTAGTATCTTTATTGTAACAGTACTTCTTTAAATATAACATTTCTAGCACAATACAAATGAATTGTAAACGTAGACAACGAAATGTTTAAATCCACTTGTATATAAGCTGTACTTTATAAAACTTTAACTTATATTAGACATAAGTTCGATAAAGAGATAAATTAACACTGTAACCTGTGTAAGTTTTTTATTACTTTAGTTTAGTTAGGACTAAACTTTACTCTACTTAATACTATCGATAAATAAACTTTAAATGTTATTCTACAACCTAACGTCAAATAGTACAACAGAATATTAAAAACTTATCAAGTTTTTAAAAAAAAAATGGTTAGTAAAGTATATTTACATTCCCCTTTGTTTCATACAACAATTGTAGCGACTTGATCACTGAGCTTTGCAGCTCTCTGCGGCAGGCAGCCTGTTTGTCGTCGAGTGAATAATGCGCATACGCGGTTTTTCTTGGGGAAACATTTTAACTAGGCATGCTTATGCAGCAGGTTCTCGGTCAGAAAGCGTAACAATCTACAGAAGGAAAATGAATCTTAAGCCTTGTACCTACAGAAAGAAAACGAATCTTAAACCTTGTACTTACAGATGGAAAACGAACTACAAGTTTTGTACTTACAGACGAGAATAAACCGTAGGTCTTGTAATTACAGATGGAAAACGAACTACCAGTCTTGTGCATATAGACGAGAACGAATCGTAAGTCTTCTATTTACAGATGAATAACGAACCGTGTGGTTTGTACTTGCAGATAGAAAATGTACCGCAAGGTTCGTAGTTATACAGAGAGAGAGAATGAATCAACGAACCACGAAGTTTCTACTGACATTTGGAGAACGAATTATGAAACTTCCCTTAAAGAAGAAGAAAAAAAAAGTAAACTTTATACTTACTGATGAAAAACGAACTATAGGGTTTTTGTCTATAGTATGGAAACAAATAGTAAATTTTGTACTTATAGAAGGAAAACAAGTCGTAAAAGTTGTATAGTTAAAGACGGAGAACGAATCGTGAAGTTTGTGCTTTAAGATGGAAAACGACGCGTAAGGTTATACATGGTTTAGGGATAAGGAATGTTTTATACGTGACGAATTAAAAATTAACAGATTCTTTAAAAAAAGAAAAACACTTAACTCAAATAGAGATTTCTTTGTGCTTCGAGTTATCAGGTACGAAATATATTATTCTAAGGTATTCATAGTTGCCATGGTTATTCACACCTTATAACATAGTTTTACGTATCTTCACATTTATTTAATAAAATTCCAAGCATTTTGTTTTGTAAAAACTATGACCAGAAAATGTTTATTCGATACTGTATTATGTCTGTGTCTTCTCTTCATTTACTTTATATAGTATGCAGATAGAAACACAGAGAAGTCCACAAAAAAGGACAACTGAAAAAATAGGATGATTTGTTATCTTTTACAAGCAGCTGTGTGAAAGCTGTATGTGCTTTAGAAGGGCGAATGAGCACAGAAACTGCGAGTAGACTGCTGGTGTATTAGTGTCGGTCGAGCTGGAACTCCAAACCTGTACTTCGAGAACATAGATTATAAGCACAGTTTGAACAGGAACTCCCGGCGGATAGATTGTTGTTGGAGCTTGGTTGCGAAACTCCAACAAACTGGGGGAATTCTGAACATTACTATTCATTTGTTAATGATAATTAACGTGATTTTAATTAATTGCATTACGAACGTTTTCACTTTATTGAAAAACAAGCTAATCGGAAATGTAGCTTTGTTCTTTTTTAACTGTATTTAAGTAAAAAGTGTAACTTGCAGGATTGCCTTCAAAAAATTGATAGAAAGCTATTATTCTCGTATTGATTTTTGACTGTGAGATAAATACAATGGTTAATGTGTTGATATTTTGACTGAGATAACTACAGAAATTAATGTATTGATTTTTTGACTGTGACCTAAATACAGTAGATAATGTTTTGAATTTTTTGACTGTGAACTAAACACAATGGCTAAAATATTGCTTTTTTTACTATGAGACATATACAGTGGTTAATGTATTGATATTTTACTATGAGGTATATACAAATATTAATGTACTGATCTTTTGACTGCGAGATATATACAGTGGTTAGCGTATTGATCTTTTGACTGCGAGATATATATACAGTGGTTAGCGTATTGATATTTTGACTGTGAGATGAATACAGTGGTTAGCGTATTGATACTTTGACAGTGAGATGAATACAGTGGTTAGCGTATTGATACTTTGACTTTGAGATAAATACTGTGGTTATCCGTATTGGCATTTTGATTATTAGGTAAATACAGTGGTTATCGCAAAACTATTTAATCTTATGTTAAAATCAAAAATATATATAAAGTTCTTATGGAATTAACATATAAGTATAGTAAAATTTTTTATTTCAGTTTGTTTGTTTTGGAATTTCGCGCAAAGCTACACGAGGACTATCTGCGCTAGCCGTCCCTAATTTAGCAGTGTAAGACTAGAGGGAAGGCAGCTAGTCATCACCACCCACCGCCAACTCTTGGGCTACTCTTTTACCAACGAATAGTGGGATTGACCGTCACATTATAACGCCCCCACGGCTGAAAGGGCGAGCATGTTTAGTGGGATGCGGATTCGAACCCGCGACCTTCATATTGTGAGTCGAGCGCCTTATCCACCTGGCCATGCCGGGCACTTTATTTCAGATGTGGAAGTGATTGTTTGTATTAGGTAAACTAAGTTGGAAGGTAAGACATTTTTCTAGAGGCTTAGGTTTTTTTTTTTATTGAACTGATAAGTTAATTTTGTTTTCATTTTGGTGTTCTAAATAATTCATAATTTCAACTCCCAGTATTAATTAACATGTCTATCGAAACCAGTTAAGGAATGAGTTTTTGTCTAGGACTACCTTTTCTACATGATGTAACATGATATTAGATTTTCCATAC